GGTTGTGGCAGTACTACATACAACAACTTTAAGTTGCCGCCCAGTTTAGAAAATTTTTACATTTCCCTCCAAAAAAAATCTTGCTATATAAGGAAATCTCTTTTCAGCCTTCTTCTCCCTGCACGTTACTTTTCTAGTTTCCCTTTTAGGGTTTATTTTGGCAGCCTTCTTCTCCAGCTTTATTTTTCAGCCTTCTTCTCTAGCTTTATTTTTCAACCTTCTTCTGCACGTGTTGTTGAACAGATGACCACACCACCTTTTCAAGACTCTGCTTATTTCTTTGCTCCAGAAGAAATGATGTTGATTGAGCATAATATCTCTGAACAAGGTGCTGGTGAAATGGATTCTGAAGATGTTGACCCTACACCCAACTCAAATGGATCCGTACCTGCGAAGAAGTATGTGTTACTCACAAATTTACAACGAAAGACAATAGCAGAAGAATTGTTAGCTAAATAAAGTGCATGTTCATTGACAAAGGTTTTAAGTTGTAAAAGAGGAGTACTTAAAGAGGTAGCCAACAATCACAATGTTTCTTCCAAGACTATAGGCAGAACCTGGGCAACAACTAAACTGCAAGTTCAATAAGGTTTGCCACTTAATACTGACCACAAGAGGACTGGAAAGTGTGGGAAGAAAAGTGTACCAATTGATTTAGAAGCTATACATGCCATTCCAAAGAGCAAAAGAACCACTTTGAGAAGCTTGGCAGCTTGTCTTAAGTTAAGTGTTTCAAAAGTGCATAATTTATTGAGTAATGGTACCTTAAGGGCGCACACCAATGCAATCAAACCTGCTTTATCCGACAAAAACAAGCTGGAAAGATTGAAATGGTCTATGTTGTGTCACATTATTCCTAGAACAGTGGATGCACCCCCACATTTTTCAAGCATGTTCAATGACATACATCTGGTCATCTGGATGAAAAGTGGTTCTTTATGAGCCAAATTACCCAACACTATTATCTTTTGCCCTTAGAGGAAGATCCTCATAGAAGCTGTCAAACTAAAAGGTTTATCAACAAGGTTATGTTTTTGGCAGGCATTGTTAGACCATGGATCAATCCGGATGGATCAATACAATGGGATGGGAAAATATGAATTTTCCCTTTCACAGAAAATGTGGCAGCAATTAGAAATAGCAAAAACAAAACTGCGGGATGTTTGGAACTAAAGGCAACCACATCTATTACAAAGGAAGTCATCAGAAATGCATTTCTCACATAATTGATTCCATCAATCAAACAAAAATGGCCAACCAATGCATGTAAAACAATATGGATACAACAAGACAATGCAAGACCTCACATTAGTATAAATGATTCAACATTTAAAGATGCAGGTACAACAGATGGGTGGGATATACAATTGGTTGGTCAGCCAGCAAATTCCCCTGATCTAAATATCTTAGATTTGGGTTTGTTTAGGGCTGTGCAAGCAATTCAACACCAGAAATGTCCAACTACAGTTCAAGAATTGGTAGTGGCAGTGAAAGATGCATATGCAGTGTTCGCACCACATAAGGTAAATCACAATTGGGTTCAATTACAATCTATAATGGTTGAGATTTTGAAATGCAAAGGAGGCAACACCTTCAAAAGCCCTCACATGGGAAAAGCAAGCTTGGAAAAAGGGGGACTTCTACCAAGTTCTCTGATAGTTGATAATGAATTGATTTCAGAAACTGTTGCTGATTTAAATGATGTTCTGCAGGATGACAGTGAGTCAACACAGGTAACCAGGTTTGAAAGTTGCAGTATGAAGAATGCATATGTATGTATAGGAATGTAATGGGTATTATGTTGTGCAAGGTTATTTAACTAATGTAGTTCAGGAACTACAAAATTTTGAGTTTTGACTTTTGCCCAAATCAGTTAATGTACAATGCATTGTCAACTTTGCCTTTTGTCAAATTAAGCTAATGAAATGCATAAGTTTTTTCATCATTTGACTTCCTTCTTGTATTATCAGATATTGCATTGAATATCATCATAAAATGGAACACAAACCAGATGACATGACCCAACAATAGATCACATAAATGTGTCATCACAGAAATGCTCACACAATGTGATCACACACAAGATCACAACCGCTCAGATCACAAACAAGTGTCATCACAGAAATGCTCACACAATCTGGGATGACACATATGTGTCATCAGAGATGTGCTACCCAAATCTCAGACCTAAGTTGTGTCATCACACCCATATGATCACAAGGTTCAATAACAAACAAGTGTCACACAAGCTCAGGTCACTAACCAGTGCCATCACAGCCAAATGATCACACAATCTGTTCACATACAACAACAACAAAACTCAGGTCACACAATGTGTTCACATACAACATCAACAAAGCTCATGTCACACAATGTGTTCGCATAAAACATCAGCAAAGCTCAGGTCACTTATAAGTGCCATCATAGAAATGCTCACACAATCTGAGATAACACATATGTGTCATCACAGTTGTGCTAGCCAAATCTCAGATCAAAGTAGTGTCATCACAGCCATATTAACACAACTTCAGACCACACACAAGTGTCATCACACACAAGATCACAAAAGCTCAGGTCACAAACAAGTGCCATCACAGCTAAATGAACACACAATCTGAGATGTCACAAATGTGTCATCACAGTTATGCTAGCCAAATCTCAGATCAAAGGTGTGCCATCACAGCCATATCAACACAAGGTCAGGTAATACACAACTGTGATCACATAGAAGATCACAAAAGCTCATATCACAAATAAGTGTCATCACAGGAATGCTCGCACGATCTGAGATGACACATATGTGTCATCACAGATGTGTTAGCCAAATCTCAGACCTAACTTGTGTCATCACAGCCATATCACCACAAGGTCAGGTAGCAAGCAAGTATCATCACACACAATAACACAATAGCTCAGATCACAAACTTTTAGTGTCATCACAGAAATGCTCACACAATCTGAGATGTCACATATGTGTCATCACGGATGTGCTAGCCAAATCTCAGATCAAAGTAGTGTCATCACAGCCATATCAACACAACTTCAGATCAAAGTATTGTCCTCACAGGCATAACAAACAAATGCAGCACATACATGCTCATACAAGCTCAGATCAGAAATATGTGCCATCACAGATATGGTATCCAAAAATCAGATCTCAAAGGTGTCATCATGGCCATACGAACACAATCTCATATTAGAGAGGTATGTTTAATGACAGAGATTAATGATTTCTAAAGAAATCATCATTTATTTCACAAAGCAGTGTCGAAAACCATAAAAATTCACATACCAACACAATAGACAATACATTACAGATTGTTTATTCTCAGGAAATCAGAAAACCTTACTACCACGCCAGCGGCGGACGCAGGATTTTTATGTGTGGGGGCAAAAAAAATTGAAGCAAAATTTTAATCACCACAAAATTAAGCTTAACTTTAACATAAAAGTAATCACCGAATTTGGACAAAATCACACACCAATGTAATACTAGAAATAATACTAGATATAAAGTCAACATTGTGTATTTGTGTACCTTAACAATGTAAGCACACTTCAAAAACACAAAGTATAAGCATGTAAATTGTAGCTTGTTCAACACCTTTGGGAGGAGAGGAGGTGCCGTTGCTCTTTGCGGAAGTCACAAGGTTAATTTGTGAAATGTAAAAATCAATTTTAACTTTTAATTAGTGGAGTTAGGACCCATCTATTAATCAACACAAGTCTATACAGATAGATTATAAATACGGGCTAAGAGTATGGGCTAAGATACGGATAGCATGCCGGTTCCTTATTTTAATAATTGATAGGAATACTGCATATTTTTTAATTTTGGGGGGACATATCTATTTATAACTTTTTCTATACCTAAAAAATAATTTTTTTTTTACTTTGGGGGGACAACAGCCCCTACTTGCCCCCTACCAGGTCGGCCGCTATACCACACAATAGTAAAGAAATACAGAGAATAGATGACTTATCGGCCACTACATGTTTATTCTCGCCACTTAAACACCCTCCACATCTCCGTTAGTCTTCACCAACACCTTCTGAGATGCATATCTAACCTTCACTTGGGGAAGTATTAGTTTCAACATCGCCTCTGAACCTTTCCGAGCGGCTTGAAGGCAAATTTCTTCCATTCTCTGGGTATCAAGGTCTTCGAAGTAAGGGGCAAGCGTATCAGGCACATGCAAGTATGGAACAATCACTTGGTCTGACGTATCCGGCACATCCGCGTAAGGATTAACCTGGCCTGGCGTATCAGGAACAGACAGATAGTGTTCGACAAAATTGCGTGTCTGATGTTCCATCTCGAACGAAAGATCAGAGATTAATGAAAGAAGGTATGACAAGAGGTTGAAGATGAGGAAGACGCACCGTGGTAGAATGAGAGTTTTAGCGGTGGAGAATGAAATGGGTAGGGGGAGGTTATACGATGGAGAAGTAAATGGGTAGAGGTGGAAAGTAAAGAGTAATTAATGGAGTAGGTGGAGAATTAAATGGGTTTAGATTAAAGGTAAGTAATTGAGGGTAAAATAGGTGGGGGTAAAAATGTATTTGCACAACAAAAACTTACTAAAAATAGAAAGAGGGACAAAAACTTACGGATAACTTTCCAGATTGGAGGCCTTTGTACCAGGGGTCTGAGCCCACTACATATACTATTAATGCTCCATTAGTTGGCCTCTTGGCCTACTTCTCGGCCCATCCTTGATTTTTGCTTGATGGATAGAATGAATGTAAAGAGAGAATGCGGTGGTGGTGTGTGGAAAGTGAGACAACTATTAAAGAACGGAAGGAGTATATAGTATATATAACGGGACGGCCGGGTACCCAACATTTTTTTATTTTGGAATCAGCCCAGTTCCTTAAAAAAATTACACAGCCCTACTAGAACCGTTTTCTGGCAACAAAAAATGGAACCGGCCCGTTTTGGACCGGAATCGCCATTAACCGGACTGGACCGTGATTCCAAGATCAGGCCACGCTAGGCGTATCCATATCGCCCAGGATCGTAACAATCACAACTCTAGAGTCCGCCGACGTCGTTTCCTTTTTCTCCCTCTTTGCGGAGATTATTCTGTGACTGCCCTCAAATAGAAGTAGAAAGAAACGCAGAATTTTCGAGGGAAAAAATCATGGTGAAATCGGTGGAGAATGGGGTATCAGTGGCGCCGTTCCTGATCAAGTGCTATGAGATGGTGGACGACGAATCAACGGATGCCCTCATTTCCTGGAGTCGAAGTCAACCATCGTCCGGAGATTCCACTAGCGATAGCAGCAGCTTCATAATCTGGGACGTCTCTAACTTCTCCTCTCAATTGCTCCCCAAATATTTCAAGCACTCCAATTTCTCAAGCTTCGTTCGCCAGCTCAACATCTATGTATGTAAGCGTGGGTGTGCTTCACTGGGTGCATCATCTTCAATTCAGATTTGACTTTATTATTTTCTAATTCGTTTCCGTGTTTCAAAGTCCTTGAAATGATTAAGATTTAAGTTCCTGAATTTGTTCAGTAAGGTTAGATTCTTTGATTTCATTCCGTATATTTTATTTTTAGCATATCCTTAAAATTTAGGATTTCACATTACTAGCAACTCCGTTGCTCGCATAAAGTTTCTTTGTTTCATTTCCACGCGTTTGGTCATCTTATTGGAATGCCAAGCTGTGTGGTCAAGTGAATGGTTTGATATGGGGATTATAAGTGGAATTAAGGATTTAAGGGTCATTTTAGATGGAGGGTTTTGGAGGGCTATTTTCTTGAAAAAATATGTATAACTGAGAACCAGTAAAGGGTGATTATAAAACTTTATAAGGGGCATGATCACTTATTATCATGGTTGTTCCTTCAGCTTTTATATCAAGTTTATAGACTCAGCTTTTCAAAACCTTCCAAGAACCTCCCTCTAAACTGACCCATGTTTCCATGCTTGAAACATGTTAGTGCAAGGGAAGGGGAGGAAATGCCAGACAGTTATTTTCTTATGATTGGTTTTACGCGGAGAAATTGAAAAGGAAATTGAAATATGATTAATTTGCTTACATGTGATTAGATTTCTTACTATTTATATTCTATGGTATAACTAATTTTACAAAATGAATATTAGCAAATTTTTTATTGGATGTCCCTTCGGGGACATCCAATAAAATTGGAACGATACAGAGAAGATTAGCATGGCCCCCTGTTCAGGGATGACACGCAAATATTTTAATAAATATATTGTGTTTGAACCGCTTTTATATTCCTTGAGTCCCTAACGTTCTCTTTTCTGACAAAATTATCCTACATTTCCCTCCATTTTCATTACATAGCACTATTCGAGTTCCAAGTGGGCACTAAAGAAATTTCGAGCTAATTTAAATTGTTATTAGAGGAGTTCATGTCTCAGCAGGTTAAATCGCTTACCAGGACACCCTTCCACGGCCTGCCCAAGGTTTTCTAAAATCACATTTTTCTGGCCCATGTTTACGGCTGTGAGCCTGTGAATAGTAAACAATGTGTCATTGGTTACTGCTTTGTGAACCACTTTAAAATTGTACTCCGTCTTAAGTGGTTATTGTTTCTGGTTTTGAATACTAAAATAGTAGTAACTTATGGGTTATGACTTATGACATCTGGCTGACTTATTCCATACTATATTGTCTATATATAGGTATGGATGAGATGACACCTGGCTGACATTAGATATACAAATTATATTCTACTTCACTGTAAAATTTTATAGCCTTTATCTGTATTCTATACTACTTACTGCAAAATGTATATTATTGGTTTTCATTTGAGCATTCTTCTGCAGCTCATAATTAAATTCAAAATCCCTCTTCTAAAACATGTATCCTCCTACATAGAAAAAAGACTTCTTACTATTGGCTGAATAAACTCTCCCCACTTGCTTTAGCAGTAGATTAAAGGAAAAATAAAACCCAAACTGATAAAGACTAAAGCCATAGCTATGTTTGGAAGTCAGGAAATGTAAGGGAAATGAGAAATGATAAAGAAATATACGGAGTATATTTTAGGATTCGTTATTCTTTGATAAAAAACATGTATGACAATCAAATATGATTGAAGATTTATACTACGTATAGGTTTATATTTCTTATTTTTTCCATCATTTGCAATGGAGCCAAAGATTCATTATTTTTTGGCTTGAGAATATGATGGAATAAAGCAAAATGGCTCACTGAACTGTCTGCGCTTCTTTGTTATGAAGCAACAGTCAATCCATGCAATTTTCATCATGGGTCATCCGGAAACAGTCTCTCTGTGCTTTAGTATAGGGGTAAGACTGCGTAGGTGGGAGCCTTTGCGGCACTGGGGTAAATGAAAATGAAATGATAGGTTTATATTTCTTAGTCTTCATGTAATAGAAATATAGTTAATAAGGACTGAAACCTAGATTGTTATGTGTTTATATTTCTTGGTATTTATTGATCGTCCTCCCCCCCCCCCCTAAAATTCATACTTTTCTCTAGACATGAATGCCACTTTTTGCTGTTCCCCTGAAGTCTAATTATGGTTTAGGAGATGATTATTGAATTTGGGTTCATAATGTTTATAATATAAGATGATTTAGTTTGAATTTGATCTTTTGAAGTTTGCAAAATTAATTTGGAGCCTAGGATCAAAACCGCACAACCCAGCCCACAACAATATGGTTTGGTTAAACAACATCAATGGTTTGGATTGGGTTGCATATCAGCTAAACCATGATTACTTGGGTTGGCTTAGGGTTGCAATACTCACCAAAACCAACCCATGCCCATCCAAAACAATAGATATTGATGGTGCACATATATTTCTTATTGAAATATGTAACCTTTTTATTATATTGTAGAGTAGCAAAAACATTTTGGATACGAAATTTCCAAATGAGTTGTTTTTATTTAATTAATGTTTTTGTCTTGTTAACTGGTTACAGGGTTTCAGGAAAACCGACACAGATCGTTGGGAGTTCTCAAATGACAAATTCATTAGAGGCCAGAAGCACCTACTAGCAAACATCATTAGAAGAAAAAATGCCCAGAATTTAGTGCCGAAGATTTCCACTCAGCAGCAACAGGAGGAAGAGACAATTCCTTCAACCTCTGAAGAAGACAAGAGCCTCGAATTGTGGAAAGAAGTCGAAACCCTAAAGACGGATAAAAACACACTGATGCAAGAGCTAATTAAGCTCCGGCAACACCAGCAGATCTCACAAAGCAAGCTGTTGCTTATAAGAAAACAGGTGAAGGGTATGGAGAAAAACCAGCAGCAGATGCTCTCTTTCATAGTAATGGCAATTCAAAACCCCGGTTTCTTGGTCCAATTCTTGCATCCGAAAGAAAACAATTGGATCATGTCAGCTCCCGAGACAGGACCAGCGAATGTACTTGGTGAAGTGGACGACGGGTGCGGGCTTACCCACTCTGGTGGAACGATTGTGAAGTATCAGCCGCGTCTGCAACATCATGAAGTTGATATTTGCTCCAATGACATTGAAGAAGAAAATAACGACCACTTTACGACTGGTGGGGTCATGATGAGAGATGAGGATGGCGAGAAATCAACGGATGATTTAGATTTTTCTCTAGATGAAGATGATATTAGTATGCTTAATGATATATTTGGGAATATAGATTTTTCCACAGGGCCATCCAACAATGAGGGCTTCACAGGGCCATCCAACAATGAGGGCTCTGACAATGTGGAACCGATTGTAATTTCCGACGTGCGCGATTGGGATGATGATATGCTGGAAATGCTGTTGTCCAGTCCGACCTCAGGGAGAGGAGAAGCTAAGGAAAACGGTCAAAGGGGTCAGGAAGAAGTTGGAGAGGGTGAAGGAGGCAACTTTGAGTTTGAGGGCGGCATGGATAAGATAACGGAACAAATGGATCTTCTCACAAAGTTTTGATATTGGCTCTTGAACGGGTTCTGTGACTTTCGGGTCAAATGTTATTGGTAATGTTACATTTTGGTACCTTAACTTTTAAATGAACCGAAGCGGTACCTTAACTATACATAAATGTTTCGAATTGAGATTTTATTCAATTTTTTGATCAAAACATCCTTCACGACGATCAAAATTTCATGTATAAAGTCATCCTATAGTGACCATATGGACAAAAATAAGGTGAAGTAGACTTTACGTATAGAATTCTGGCCGCCACATGTGATTTTTTGGTCAGAAATTTAAATAAAATCTCGATTCGAAACATTTATGTATAATTAAGGTATTGTTTTGATTCATTCAAGAGTTAAGGTATCAAAATGTAATATTACCAAAAATTAATGTACCATTTATGCATTTGACCCGTGACTTTCTTTCTGGTCACTAAAGAGCACCATTCCATTGAAAGGACTACTATACCCCAGGGCTTATGTGGGAATTTTTGTAAAGGTTCAAACTCATACTATTTCACAAGTAACCACATTATGAAAATATCATTCCCTACGTTCCAAATAAATTTGGAATTTACAATTGACTACGATAAAGCTAAACCTTCTCTACATTTAATTAAATCAATTTTAATAATTAAAATTAATTTATATATTCTGGAACGACATGGAAAGTTATGTAAGTTACAAAGTCCAGATTATAATATATTAAAATGTTGATATCCCAAAATCCCAAATAGGATAACAAAATCAACGTTGTTGATGTTTGAAAAGTACTTTTAAAAATCAAATATAAGTACTGAATTACTCAATCAACAAAATCAATAACTATCTTAGTATTTCCTTGAAGAGTTTTTTTTTGTAGTTGATGTAGTTGCACTTTCTCAGAAACTAAACAATGCAATTTGTACTTTATTAAGCATTATATATTATATGAATATAAAATAAGAAACCGTAGGATTAGTTTGAAATAATTTAGGTTACAAATGCTCAAGTATAAGCTCAAGTATAAATAGAAAGAGATCAATTAGTATATTGTGGGTTACAAATGTAATATTTTGACAACATTCCAAAAAAGTATGTAAAATTATATGTGTTGACAAAAATGTACTTAAACAAACCGTCGAGTAGTTTGAAATAATTTAGGTTACATTTTTTTTATCTTTTGACAAAGATGTACTTAAATACTTTTAAAAAAATCTTTAACTTGGTTAGTTAAAATTGTGAATTATTTCAAATTAATACATACTACCATCCTCATTTGTGAAATCTTTACATTCTTTAATAATTTTGTGCATCATAACGTGGCATGAGTGGTCCAAATAGCCGGGCGACAAGATAAATGTATTGTTGTCATTTTTTTTTATTAATTACCATATTAGATAAATGTATTGTTGTCATTTTTTATTAATTACCATATTTATCTCAATTGGATTGACAAATGTTTAATACACTCTTGAGGAATACACTAACATTATTCACAAATGTATTTATTCCTAAATTTAATTATTAGTCATTAGACATAAGTATTCTTTTTTATTTTTTAGACATGGCTTCAATATTATAATAATTTACGCAAATATATTTAAAATTCAATAAATTTCTCCATGATTTACTAGAGTATATTGGTTCTTTTATTATTAATTCTGTCCCTTTCGAGAGAATCACACACATTATTCAAGCCCCTTAAATGAGTATAGAAACACCAAAGATTATATTGATGTTAGTTTTAACTAATGACATATATGAAAAAAATAATCTTAATTTCTCAAAATAGTGTGTGTTGTGGCACTATCGATTAAACATTGATTATGCCATTTAAAGATATTCTATTAATTAGTTAACTTCATATCTTGAAAAAATGAATATAAGATTATAAGATATACGAAGTATATCATAATATAAACTTTACTTTACTCAATAACTAGTGTAAAACCCGGGGCAATGCCCTGGCAGCGCGTCAATTTGAAAAGGATTAAAATGAAAAAACACTAATAGATATTGTGAATTATTCATAATATCCAAAATTGAATATAATTCATTTTTTACTGTGATCTGATCTGAACACAACCAATAACAAATTTGTATTTGTTAAATGACTACATATAAATTTATCCATCATCATATATTATACTCCCTATATTAATACTCTTTAGTCTATATCAAGGTTTTTTACTATGGTAGCATTGCAATTGCTTTTACTGCTGTTGCGGCTATCACAGTCTTTGTGATGTGTGTTCCCGTTCATGCAGTGTAATTTAATTTTACGCTCCAATGAAATAAGAAAAAACAATGTTGATGCCATGATATGATCCAATATAACCCCGTTGCAGTCATATTATTGGATCAATAATTAAGCATATTATGTAGATGTTACAAAATAATTAAATGATGTAATGTAAAAGTATGAATTATATTTTATATTCTATATATGAGCATTTGCATCATTTAATGAGTTAAACAATGATTGTAAAAGTAATGTTAACATATATTATGCGATGTCAATAAGAGTGATGGACAGTGTACCCGGGGGTAGCTTATCCGAGGGGTTATTCGAGGAATAGACTAGAGAGAAGTCAGAGCAAATAAGAGAGAGAGAGAGAGAGAGAGAGAGAGACAGAGAGAGAGAGAGTCAAATGTATTAAATGAACTCAGCATGTTTTACAAGGGGAATAAGGGCTGCTATTTATAGCAGCCATAAATGCGATGAGAGTACACGTGTCAATTATCTGACGGCCGAGAGGTCACCTCAATCAGGGTGGCACCGGCATTCGCATGTGCACCGCATTAAATGCGGTGGTTGGATGTGACGCCGCATTGAATGCGGTGGCCGGTTGCTTGTCTCCAAAGGAAATCTTCGATGATTGCACTGTAGCCGAAGGCTCCCCTGTGGCTGAGGGCTCTATGTAGCCGAAGGCTACCCTTATATCGAGGGCGTGTATGAGCCGAAGGCTCCTGTATTTCGCTGTCTTCTCTCAGTAGCTTTGTGTGTGGAAAATCAGCTGTTTCCCGGAGTTTGGAGCCTTCAGCCATGGTGCCGAAGGCATCCCCAGGCGCGCTGCGGGTTTCTTTGAGCTTGGGCCGCGGTGCTTTGGGCCTCATGCGCTTCTTGGGCCTGTGTCAGAGTAGTAGGCGTCTGTGGGCCGGGGGTTCCCGAGCCATATACTCCATCAAAGAGAGTCACACATAACATTTCATAACTCAAGGTAACTATATTGGTTAACAATAGATAATAAGAAAATCCGGTGTTCTAGACATTTTTTGAAAAAAAAACTAAAAAATGTAAAAAATTAATTATGAAATCATAATTCTATGTTTTGAACAAAAGAAGTTCTAGGCCTGAAAATCACCATCAACTCGATCTTTAGATTTATTTTACATATGCAATATTGGTGTCATTTGAAAGATGACAAATAGTTATGAATTTTGATATATTTTTTCTAAACATTTGAGTACAAATAAAAAACATTAACACTTCAAAAATAAGAGATTTTTACCTCTCTTTTCTCTAAATGAGTTGACCTAATTAAGGTGAAAGCTAATCACAATGAATTTGGGAGAAATAATGAAATGTTTTTTTATAGGCAAATAATGAAATGTTTTTGTTAGAGTGATAATTAGAATTTTTAGTAACGAATGACATATTGACACATTTTTCTTCTTCTTCCCTTTCATCAAATACCTTGGGGTGATTAAATTGAATAGTAGTGATATACCGAATGAATAGCAGTGATGCACCAAGTGAATAGCAACAATGCACTGAATGAACTTAAATTAATGAAATATTTTAGTATGGAATGTTAATAAAATATTTATCAATCAATAAGAGACTGACACATCATTGTTTTAAAATTAGTTTATTATATAATTTTTTATATGCAATATATAGGTAATATGAAATATCATAAAAAGTTATGAATACTGATGTACGAAGTATATCTTTTTTAATAAAATTGGAGTACAAATAAAAAAGTTTTAACACTTTAAAAAAGAAGATTTTTTATCTTTCCTTTCTCCAAATGAATAGTGATACATATATAGAGTGAATAGCAATGATGAACCTAGTCAACTTAAATGAATTAAATGTTTTTGTAGGAGAGATAATAGATTGTTTACTACTTAAAACAACATATAATATTTTCTGTTTTTATATACTCTGGTATGCAATATTGGTGTCATATGAAAGATCATAAAAAATTATGAATTTTGATATATATTTTGTAAAAATTGGAGTGTAAACACAAAAGTTATATCATATTTTTTTGCACCACACAAAAGTTATATCAATCGAAAAGAGAGATTTTTTTCCCTCCAACTCAAACCGTGTTTCACATGGAGTAATTGATAATATTGATAATAGTGATGAACGCATTAAATGGTTGAATTAATTAATTGCTTTAATAGTAGTGATAAAAGAAATTGCATTAGCCAATGAGAGATTGACACATCATTGTTTTCTAACTCGGTTTTACTATATAAAACAATATATTAAAATATACACAACTTTTGCAATCATTCTAAGCACACTAAATAAAATCACATATAATAAACTCTTATTTTTATAATATATTACATAATATAAAATTTTATTTTCATTTTCACTCACAACTATGTTAGTGTTAAAAGGTGCATATATTTCTTCTTGCCTTGGGGAGCGGCGAAGGGTAAAAATCCTAGTCGTCTCCCACCACATCCCTTCTTCTCAATTATTTTTCTCCTCCTAAAGATGAAAAATTGTCTTCTTTATAAGTATATTGAAGTAATTGTATGTGGTTCGTTCCTGGCAATGTGTAGGGTTTGTGTATTTATTGTTGGTGGAACCGATCGAGTGTTGAAATATTATTGTTGGTGGATGGCAATGCTTGTCTTGCTTCAATTCTTTGGAAAGTTAACTTGAGACATCGACAACTCTGAGACCTCGATTATTCGTCCTCCTGAACCACCAACATATTATGAGAGAAAGATAACACTCAAATGGATCTTCTTTTCGGTGGCTGGTCAAACCGATGATATTTGCAATTTCTTCGCAGTAGCTGGTCAAATTGAGAATTCTAATTGTTTCTTTCTAGTGGTTGGACAAACTAATTTTTCTATTATTTCCTTGTCGGTGGATGGTGAATCTGATTTATATGTTTTGTTTTGTTTTTTTACGAGGGAACACCTCGCCGGTTTATTAAAGAAATATGCAGTACAGAGAGCAGGAGGACCAAACCAAGGCCTGCTCGGGGAAATAAATTAAAACATACATAAATAATAAGAGAAAAGGTAAAAGATTACTCAGCCGATTAATTTACTGTGTAATTAAAATTATTGGGGAGTCCCGCCTGCATAGACAAATCTTTGTTGTATTTGTGATGGAATTTAATCGCCCTTTGAGTATATGGAGGATAGATGTTTTTCTCAGGATGTGCTCTCTGATACCAAGCCAAACCTTGCACCAATTTCTGAGGCAATTCATATTTGTGTTATTCGGGATAAACATAGAACTCAATCTCTATTTGTCCAACCTTAAGTTTGCTCCTTGTTAGTATATGTGAAGTATATCCTCTGGTATAGGTTTGTGGCACTTGAATTGAAGCTATTTGTTGTTGGTGACTGTTTTTTTTGTTTTTTTTTTTCTCGAGACCACTGGAGTGAATCCGTCAAAAGCTGTCAATATGTCTATAAGAGATAGGCTGTCAAAATCATTATCTTGAGAGCTATTTGGAGGTTGGGATTCATGATAGGTCAGAGATTTAGTAGGTTAAGTGGTTTGACACTATATCAGGGTTATTTTGGGAGGGGTTATCCTCAGCTGAGTTATGGTAAGGGGGAGCCAATGGTGACTCTTCTGCCCTACTTTTAATTTTTGCATCATTGGATAAGGGGACATTTACACTTTGTTCATTGATGTGGTATGTAATTTCCAGGGCCTTGTCACTTGAGTCGACGAGGAGAGTAGGCTCCAAAAAGAGTAGAAGTGCATTGGGTGGGGGCTCGATGGTTAAGGTAGTGTGATCAACAATAGGCAATAGGAGACAGAAGGCATCAAATTAAGCAAGTTAATAGCAGAATCCGTCTTTGAGCACCCCGGGTCAACAGGGGCAAGGGCATTATCTCCTTAGACAACCTCATTGACTGTATCATCTTGCGCAGTATCCTCTTGGGCAATCTTATTAACTGACGCATTTTTTTCTGGTGCAATGGTAACCAAAATGTATTCATGATTCTTGGGCAAGGGCATTATATGTTTGTTTTCTATCGGAAAGTGGTGTAAACGCTTTTCTATTTAGGATTATTGATAGATGAGTCTACATCTGTGTGGGGTTAGCGAATTGTTATGTCCCTTTAGAACTTTTTCAGTTCTAAAATGTCTCATCCCATTATATCCTTAAACTATCTGAATTGCTTTTGTACCGATCATTTTTTGTTATTCATAAATATGTGTTTTAAAAAACTATGTTAGTGTTGATTTCATGACCATCCATATAAAAGTCGCACACAATAATTGTAGGCATCAATAAGACGTAATTAGTTTTCACATTTTCCCCTTTGAGAGTTGATCAAAGTAATTCAACCAAATCTATGGGTGTACAACACTTATTTTCTAGTGTCCCTATATGTGCCACAATTACTGTAAGTGATTTTAGATTTTTTTGCACTTCTATTTCATTTTAAACTTTTTTTAATTAGAATGATGATGACGTTTTATATACTCTATATATTTATAGATTTTTTTCAAAAATATTAATAAAATAAAACTTATTTACAAAAATATGACTTATATTACTACAACTTAGTGTCATCATAACTTAAATTTAAAAATTGAACATAATTTACTATGATTCCATTACTACTCTAGTCATTAGTCACATTTATGTGAACAATCATTATTTTAGTCATAAATATGTAATTATTTCATATTTATATTGGATAGTTAGCTTAATATATCTCTAACTATCATCAAATCTATCATATTCTTTTACTTTCATTAAAAAAAGATAAAAAATTATCTTTTCTCGTAGTTACACTTTTAATGGATGGACAAATAAAGTTTAAGAAAAAAATCATAATAATATTTCATATTTTTTCATTTATTTCTAGTTTTAAGTTTACAAACTTGGACTGCTTATATATATTTTATACTAAACATTTTCTTACAAGAATAATCTCTTTTACTTGTAATAAAGTTACTAGTACTTATAATTAATCAACTTTTGGTCTATGGTGCATAACATGTTAAAGATAACTACAAAGATAAAATTCTCACATATAGCTATATAGAAAGAGTCCAAAGTTTTCTAGGTAACATATAAAGTATATTAAATAAATATTAATTATTTATTAGTGTTTAATCTATTTTAGCAACTTCTATAAAAACATTAATATATTAAAATGCTAATAATATATTTAATAATTAATGGGTTAGTTGGAGTACTATTTTATACTCCGTATTACTTTTGAGATAGAAAAATTTCAATCACATTTTAGTATACAAAATTGATGTTTTCAGGTTTGATTTAAATTCTTGCTAATTCATGAAGAACAAGTATAGTTTTTTTTTTTTTTTTTTGAAATAGAAGAACAAGTATAGTTAAACAATTAACAAAAATTATGAAATTTAATACGAGTACATAAAAGTATTGATATTGATAAAAATGTGTAAGTTTGAAAAACAAAAGAAAAAAGAATAATAGTTAAAAATGAGGTTTGAGTCTTTTTTTAATAAAAATTAAAGAAAAGCATAATATATTTATAATTTGAAACAATTATATACGTAGTATATGATTAAGAGCCAAGTACCTTGTGGTGTGATGTCATTACTGATTCACTACAGATCTCCCAAAGAGCAGGTCGCGGATTCGAGTCTCATCCCAATCAATGATGTTGGCATTAACAAGAATAAATACTATAATAGCTTTAAAAGAATGTTCCAATATATATATACTCCCTCTGTCCCAATATAAAAGGCACACTTTCCTTTTCGGTCCGTCCCAATATAAAAGGCACATTTCCCTTTTTGGCAAACAAAACAGTGTCAAACAGTGCCAAACAGTGCCAAACAGTGTCCAAACAGTGCCAAACAGTGCCAAACAGTGTTCAAACAGTGTTCACCCTTAAAAAGTCCCCAAACGCAAATGTGCCTTTTATATTGGGACGGAGGGAGTATATATATATAGAGGAAAATTCCTATCCAGAATTTCTTGACCGGACCCCCGTCCGGCCTCAGCTGTTTGGAGCAGTTCCGGCCGGTAGTATTTTTTGCTCAAATTTTTTGTGTATGTTCCTCATCAAATCTAGTTCATCCATACCAAATTTCAGCAAAAAATTCAATTGGGAAAGTCGTCAAATGATTTTTGCAAGTTAACTGGTCCGGAATATGTATTTTCCGGACCAGTTAACTTGAAAAAATCATTTGACGACCTTCTCGATTGAATTTTTTTCTGAAATTTGGTATGGATGAACTAGACTTGATGAGGAACATACACAAAACATTTGAGCAAAAAATGCCACCGGGAAGGCCCCCAAAAGGAGGAGGCCGGACGGCGCTCCAGTCAGGAATTTCCTGACCGGAAGATTACTCTCTCTCTCTCTCTATATATATATATATATATATATATATATATATATATATATTGTAACTAAGTTTCATCTCAATTACTGAATGAAATATTTTTTATTGAACGATAGTTTGAGATATACTTTCTCTGTTCCGCTAATATTGTTCCATTTGATCTTTTTTGGAAATACACTAAAATTTGTGAGAATTTGGAAAAGGTGCTCCAATATGAGTCCTGGCATGTATATTTATATTAAAAGAGTCTCATACAGATTAGGAAACAAATCTGCCTAATATAATATTCTATTACACCCTCTTAAACTGTGCGGGAGATACAACACGCATGTTGTCTTTCAAAAAATTAAATTGCTGACTAGAAAGGGATTTGGTAAAAATGTCAGCTAACTGCAACTGTGTGGGAATGTATTTTACAACTAAATCTCCATGAGCCACACGCTCTCGAACAAAATGGTAGTCAATCTGAATGTGCTTGCTACGGGCATGCTGAACTGGATTAGCAGTCAAATAAGAAGCAGAGATATTATCACAAAATAATTGAACCGGTGCAGTAATAGGATAGCCGAGCTCAAACAATATAGAGCGGATATGCAGAGTATCCTGAACAGTGTAAGCAACGGCTCTATACTCGGCTTCTGTAGAGGATTTGGAGACAGTAGGTTGCTTCTTAGACTTCCAAGAAACAAGATTCGGGCCTAAGAACACAGCAAAACCAGTCGTGGATCGAGACGTATCGGGACAACCTGCCCAATCAGCGTCAGAATAAGCAAGGACACAGGTTGCCCGAGATGTAGGCCGAAGCCATAAACCATGATCAAGAGTCCCCTGCAAGTACCTGGAAATTCTCTTGACTGCAACAAGATGAGTAGTACGTGGAGCATGCATAAACTGAGACACTAAATGCACAACATAGGTAATATCAGGTCGTGTCAAAGTTAAATATTGTAATGTACCAACCATACTACGATACTCAGTGGCATCAGCAAAAAGTTCACCATCAGTGGGAGATAAAGAAGTGCGAGTAGCAAGCGGAGTACGAACCGACTTATGAGTATGGAGATGGAAGCGAGAGAGAAGATCAGACACATATTTATGCTGAGAGAGAAACAAACCTTTAACAAATCGAACAGCAATACTGCCTCTATTTCTCCCAATCGACTCTCCTCCTCTCCTGTACATACCGAACCATTCAGCATGCCTAGTCCCAGTTCTCCTCTTTATCCACCACGGGCATCCACTTCCAGTACACCAAACCAACAACACACCCATCACCAATCTCACACACCACCAGTCCTATCCCACGTCCCAGGCAATGCATCTGACCATAACCAACTTCACGACCAGCTCTCAAGCCCTTCCCCTGTTCGGCCTACCTCACCTCCACTCATGCCTGAATCTTCTGCCCAGTCTGACGATATCCCGGTGCCGCAGCAGCTCACGACCAGTGTCCCCGAGTCTTCTATACCCCACGGCCAGCCTCTAAACAAATCTGCCTAATATAATATTCTATTAAAATTGTTTCATACTAAATTTGATAAAGTTTGGGTGGCTCTAAATCATTCTTACTTTATTCATATTTTATCAATTAATATCAACCATACAAACTCATTTTTCTTAATAACTGTGTCAACTCTTTCCGCTCCAATATTAGTGGAAGAAAGTAGTAATAGAGGGTGTTTGGATCTGATTCATAAAACAGCTTCTGCTTTCTGAAGGAGCGGAAACAGAAGTTTGAGTGTTTGGGTGAAAGTGCAGAAGTGATTCTGGTGCTCTAATGTACTCCTAGAATCAGTTTTTTAGAAGCTGGGGGAGACCAGCTTCTAAAAACTATTCTGCTTCTGCTTCTACTTTAAGAACCCATTTGGTAGTTTACACATTAAAACTTTACACGTAAAGCGATTGCATGTAAAGTTTAGGACCGTAAAGTACTTTGCATGTAAAATAAAAATACATCGTTTGATTATGTGTGTAATCTATTTTTAAATTACACGTAAACATTTTACGTTGTTTGTTGTAAAATAAGTTTACACGTACTCGTTGAAAATGCCAGAGAGCTTCCGCAAATTATACGGTGCAACCGGCGTACCATGTGCATGGTATGCCGGTTGCTAATACGGTACCATTTTTTGCTTTTCTCATGCTTCCGAAAGTTCAAAGCCCAAATTACGGAAGTCTTCTTTCTCCCAGGTAAGTACTTCCTTTCTATTTATTGTTTTTTTCTATTTTCTTTAATTCTTTTCTCTTTAACATCAAATACTAAAAATGTATTTGTAATTTTACTCATCTTTATCTTTAACTACTTAAAATATAAATGAATTTACATTTTTTCTTTACCAACTTATTACAAAATTTTATTAATCCACATAAAATAAGTGTATTGTAATACATTTTATATTTTATTAATCCACATAAAAAACATATATTTATTAATCCACATAATAATTGAATCTATTCTTTTTATTCTCTATCAATGCATAACAAAAAGTTTATAAATCAAAATAAAATAAGTATATTCCATCATTCAGCTCCTTGAAAATGAAATCACATCTTCTTCTGCGCAAGTTACATATTAATGTACGCGAGTTACATCTAAATATACATGAGTTACATCTTAATGTATGCGAGTTACACCACGTACTGAATAAACTCTAGCTATATCATTTTTATTGCCCTAATATTAAAAATAAAACGTATTCACTATTTATAAAAAGTAATTAAGCTATTAGGATCAATTTTTCATTGTTTACATTGAAATCAATGTTTATAATATCTCAAACACAAAAGAAAATCATTGTTCAACTTTCCAACAAGTTACATTCTGTATACACCCAGGTTACATTTGGCATCAACGTGAGTTACATTTGTAATAACACGATTTACATTAAAAAATCAACCTCTGCTATTGAAACAAAAAAATGATCTTTTATAAAAAAAATTATTTTTATAGTCATGATATTAAAAACAAAACATATTCTCGTTTTACCTAAAACAATTGTGTAATTAGACTCTCTTTTTTCATTACTTACATTGAAATCAATATTTGACAAGTTACATTTTGGATGGGCTTGAGTTACATTGATCAATAACGCGAGTTACATATCTTTACACGCGAATTACACCATCTATGTTTCTGGGACAAAAAAAGTCACTGTACACGCGTGTACTGTTCACGCGTGTACTGTTCACGCGATTTTTTTTAATTGTCCAAAACTACATCGTTTTGGGAGGGGGAGTACGGTGCTCATGATGGGACGGTTGTATGGTATACGAACTGGAGAGCTTCTAATTAACGTGCAAAGAACTAGCTTGATGTTTGGCCTGCCGCCTTTAAATTGAACTTTACAATATTCAATACTAATGTATATAAAAAATTCATGTAAATATATACTGAAAAATCAAACAAATACTCTGTATATGATGACCAAAAATATCAAAAGTGTCCGATACAATATTAGACAATTACAAACTAAAAAAACTTATCACAATCACAGAATTGTTTTCTCAAATTAACATAAAACTCCAAATCATATATTTGATCAACCGAAGCAGTTCTCAAAATTAAATAGTACTCCGTAGAATATAGGTACAGTGTTTTGATTAACCCAAGCAGTTCTAAACGATTCTATTTGGAGTCCTGCTTGGGGTACCCCAATTTGTACCCCAATCTGTACACCGTCTGTGTACATAGACATAGGGGAGAGCATAACCCGAACCGACCCGAAAACCCGTTCGGATATACCCTTACTACGCCCACCGGGTCGGGTGACCCGAACCCGAAAATCCAAACCGAACCCGTTTTCCTTAGGGTTTCAGGGTCGCGGGTCGCGGGTAGGGTTTAAAATTCGCTACCCGACCCGCCCGAAAAACCCGAAACTCCAACTAGTATATATACTAGTTATTTAGAGGTAACCCACTCTGTAACCCTAATCCTCTTCATCGCAGACCCCTTCTCTCTTCAATACCTTCATCGCAGATCCCTTCTCTCTAATCTCTCGTCAATCCGATCTCTCTCATTCACCCTTCGGGAGTCCGGCACTGATAGTTCATTATCTGGCTTGTCTCTGACTCTCTGCCTTTCCTCTCTGGCTTGTTGTTCCTCTAGTTTGGACTGGTGGAAGCTTAACAATGGTGGAAGCTTAACAACGGCTGAAGCTTAGAACAGTGGAACGGTGGAAACCTGCGACACTACGAGTCTACGAGTCTGTTGTGAGGTATAAAAGTTTGATTTTATAAATTATTATGGTGGTATAAGTGGTATTATACTATGGTGGAAGCCTGGAAGCTCGAACCCTAGATATGCCATGTTATACTGTTCTTGTCTTTTGATATGTATTACTTGTGTAATTGTGACTCACTCATTCATGAATTGTGGAAGCCTATTTGGTATTTACAATGGATTTGTTAAATGTTAGCCTCATTGCCTCAATGATACCTCTGTGTGCCTACTTGACTATGGCTTTGTAATTTGTGATGCATAAGTGAGATGGTGATACCTCGTTTTGACTTTTTTGATACCTATTTCACTATGTTCTGTGGATTTGTAACATGTGAATCATGTGATGCATCTGTCATGCATGTTAAATACTTAAATGTGAGCTTCATGCCTTGATACATATGTGATAATTTTCTGAGTACTGAATGACAGAATGAGATGATGGTTGAATATAATTTTCTGAGTAAACATGATGATTTGATGATTCATATTTCACATATTCTGGCTCACAAGTGTTGAAGTTACCTTTTTGTACTCAAACACTCAAACGAGTAGTTAGAGTGAACTGGTATCTTCTAAGTCTGTAGAGAAGAGAATAAGCATAATGCTTATATCTTTCTGTAGATCACATTGTTGATTGTTCCAGACTTTACTGTGCTATGTAGAAGTATTTGTGATTGTCAATATGTGATAATGTCATTTATGTGTTCATTCTTCAATGTGTTGACTGCATGTCTGCATTGAGCTATTTGAATTGTCTATCATTATCAGAATGGAAGGTCAATGTATTGATACCATACCTGCATCTGGTTCTCAACCTCCTCTGACTCCTATTTCTCAAGAACCTATGGTGGAAGCTCATGATGCTGGGCCTAACTCCAGCACTCAGCAGACACCTGTTGTTGATGTGCCTGTTTCTGGAAAAAAGAGAAAGGAGGTAGAGTCCAGATCCATAATATGGGAATACTTTGACAAGATAAAAGATAATAAAGGTGTCCTTATCAAAGCAAAATGCAAACATTGTGCCAGAACATACTGTTGTCAGTCTAAGAAGCATGGCACTTCCTCTCTTAGAAATCACATACTGAACTGTCTGAAAATTCCTTGCTCAAAAGATACTAGGCAAGCCCTTCTCAGTTTCCAACCAGTCTTGTGTAATCCAACACCTGAAAATACTGGAGTGTTAGTGAATTGGGTGTTTGATCAAGTTGCAGTTAGGAGAGCACTTGCTGAAATGGTCATAACTGATGAACTTGCATTTAGATTTGTAGAAAGGCAAGGGTTTAGGAAGTTTATGGCTATAGCTTGTCCTAGGTTTCAAATTCCTTCTAGATGGACAATTGCTAGGGACATCTATCAAATCTATTTAGATGGGAAGCTGAATATGAAAAGGTACTTTAGGGAGCACACACAGAGGGTCAGTATAACAACCGACACATGGACCTCTGTACAGAGGATCAACTACATGTGTATAACTGCACATTTTATTGATCATGAGTGGAAGCTGAAAAAAAAGATCATCTCCTTTGTTCCTGTGACTTCCCATAGAGGAGAGTACCTAGCCAAAGCTCTAGAGTCTTGTTTGCTAGATTGGGGATTGAAATCTATCTTCACCATAACTGTTGATAATGTTAGTAGTAATGATACTGCAGTAGGTTTTTTTAAGAAAAAACTTTTATCTTGGGGTGCCTCTTCTGTGAAAGTAAAGTACCTTCATATGAGATGTATTGCTCAAATCCTAAATTTAGATGTGCAAGATGGTTTAAAAGAAGCTGATGGTTCTGTTCAAAGAGTAAGAGATGCTGTTAAGTATGTTAGAAACTCACCAGCTAGGTTACAAAAATTCAAGGACATTTCAGACTTGATTGGAATGCAGTCTAAAGCTGGATTGCACCTAGATGTCCCAACTAGGTGGAATTCAACTTATCTCATGCTGAAAGCTGCACTGTCAAACGAAAAAGTTTTTGAAGCTTATGAGGAGACTGAGACTTCCTATTCTATTGATCTGCAACATGAAACTCCTGATGTAGAGGATTGGCTTGCAGTTGAAACTTTGGTAGATGTACTTAAAAACTTTTATGAAATGACCCTTAGGATTTCTGGCTCTCTCTATGTGACTGCTAATACCTTCTTCTCTGAATTATCTGATATGTTCCTTGTTCTCAAAGATATGGAAGCTTCTAAAACTGATTCTGTGAAACTAATGGGGACTAATATGAAAGCCAAACTGGATAAGTACTGGGGTGATCCAGAAAAAATGAACATGCTTATTTTCTTTGCAAATGTCCTTGACCCTAGGGATAAATTTGAGTACATGCCCCATCAATTAATTGCTTTGTATGAGGAAAAGACAGGCAAGGCCTTCTTTGAAAAGATAAAGTTGGGTTTGAATGAGTTGTATAGTGATTATGTTACAAACTATGAGTGCTCTATTAGTGGAAGCTCCCTTTTAACCCCAAATGTGGTTCCTTTGCAATCTGAATCAACCGGAGGTAGGCCTGTCTCCAGATTGAAAGCCCAATTGAAAAAACAAAAACAAGACAGTGGGGTGTTAGGCTTGAAAAAAACTGAACTTGAAACTTATTTGGGTGAGAACATAATTGAGGAGGATAGTGAATTTGACATCTTGATATGGTGGAAGCTTAATGGTGAGAGGTTTCCAATTCTGTCTAAGATGGAAAGAGATATTCTTGTTGTTCCTATTTCCACAGTAGCTTCTGAGTCCACTTTTAGTACAAGTGGAAGAGTGTTAGACTGCTTTAGGAGTTCATTGAGTGCCAAAATTGTGGAAGCCCTCATATGTGCTCAAGACTGGTTAAGGATGTCCAATCAGCCTGTCTCAATAGAAGAAAACATTGAAGAGGTAGAGAGGCTGGAAACAGGTACAAGCTTTTACACATTCTTTTTTTGAAATTTTATATTTCAACTTATTGTTATTTGCTAACTTAATGTTCTGTTTTGAATGCAGAGTTAACTGAGGGGAATGTTGGTGGAGGCCCTTCTCTTGATCAGATAACAGTAAAACTTTTTCTTTATCTTTTAAATATGTAATATGTTGTTTCACTAATGATATGCTATGCTATGATCCTGGCATTCTGTCAATGTTATGTCTGGATGGCTGTAAAAGCATAAACATGCTGGTACGATGGTAAAAGGAAGTGTTGCTGTTCCACTGGTACAATTTCACCTATTTGTGTGTTTGTACAAGAAGACATGGTAATCTCGTTTATCTCTATACTGGTTGATTAGAGATTAAGTGTTGCATATGTGGTCAATGATGATAGCTTCCACCAAAAACTGAAATGAATGGGTTGGTGTTGATTCTATATGTATATAGTTTTGTATGCCCCCATTTATTATGAAGTAAATAAGCAATCTGAGCCTACTTATATGCATCTTACTTGCTGCCTTGCTGGAACTATTGAGATTTGCAAATGTATTTATTGATTAGAGATTAAGTGTTGCATATGTGGTCAATGATGATAGCTTCCACCAAAAACTGAAATGAATGGGTTGGTGTTGATTCTATATGTATATAGTTTTGTATGCCCCCATTTATTGTGAAGTAAATAAGCAATCTGAGCCTACTTATATGCATCTTACTTGCTGCCTTGCTGGAACTATTGAGATTTGCAAATGTATTTATTGATTAGAGATTAAGTGTTGCATATGTGGTCAATGAGACAATGATGATAGCTTCCACCAAAAACTGAAATGAATGGGTTGGTGTTGATTCTATATGTATATAGTTTTGTATGCCCCCATTTATTGTGAAGTAAATAAGCAATCTGAGCCTACTTATATGCATCTTACTTGCTGCCTTGCTGGAACTATTGAGATTTGCAAATGTATTTATTGATTAGAGATTAAGTGTTGCATATGTGGTCAATGATGATAGCTTCCACCAAAAACTGAAATGAATGGGTTGGTGTTGATTCTATATGTATATAGTTTTGTATGCCCCCATTTATTGTGAAGTAAATAAGCAATCTGAGCCTACTTATATGCATCTTACTTGCTGCCTTGCTGGAACTATTGAGATTTGCAAATGTATTTATTGATTAGAGATTAAGTGTTGCATATGTGGTCAATGATGATAGCTTCCACCAAAAACTGAAATGAATGGGTTGGTGTTGATTCTATATGTATATAGTTTTGTATGCCCCCATTTATTGTGAAGTAAATAAGCAATCTGAGCCTATATATATGCATCTTACCTGCTGCCTTGTTGGAACTATTGGGATTTGCAAATGTATTGATTTATTAGAGATTAAGTGTTGCATATGTTGACAATGAATCCCAATGATGATAGCTTCCCCCAAAAATTGAAAAATACATGAAGGTGTTATTCTATTTCTAATTTGTATATAGTTTTGTATACCCCTTTTTTGTGAAGTGAATAAACAATCTGAGCCTAAATATAGGCATGTTAATTGCTGCCTTGCTTGAAATATTGGAGTTAGCACATGTATTCACCAGTTATTACATTAAATGTTTGCTTAATTTGGCAATGATGATAGCTTCCACCAAAAATTGAAATGAATGGGTTGGTGTTGATTATATTCTATATAGTTTTGTATGCCCCCATTTTTTTGTGAAGTTAATAAACAATCTGAGCCTTATACATGCATCTTATTACATATGCATCTTGATGGGTTGATGTTGATTCTAGTTCTGTATGGTTTTTATGCCCCCATTTTTTGTTAGGTGAAAGTAAATCTGAGCCAACTCTGATGCTATACAGTTTTTAATATTTATACCTCCCAACTCCCAAACAGTTAAGTCTGTGTTTTCATGAAACTTATAGTTTTCCTTGTCATGTACATAGGAAGAAATACAATGATTAACTAAGTGGCTGATGCTTGGTGGTCTGCTCCAAGATGGAACCAGGAAACAAGAAACTAGAACTAAACACTTCAAGGCTTCAAGTTCAATGTTGTTCAAATTGCTAATTGCCAAGTTTTGCTACTTTCTATATGTTTTGTTTACTATGTTGGAAACTTGGAACTGCATAATGTATTTATGTTTTTGGATTTTGGAATTGGGACATGTCACTTTGATACTTTGGAGGTTGTAACTCTAAACCCCCCTATCTTGCTAATTGCTATAGTCTGGCAAGTGGCAACTTTGTAGTCTGCAGCCTTGCGGAGTTGCAGTTATGGTAGTCATATGACTCATATTATGTAATTTTTGTATATTATTAAGTTGTTATGCATGTTAATATGTCTGATACTGTGGTACTGTAAGTCTGTTACCAACTTGCCATATTAGGACAACTTCTGCTTTGAATGTTATAGACTTGAGTTATAGACTTGTAGTGTTACTGACTTTTAATGGCTTTTAAACACTTACCACTTTATTTTTCACAATTTCAACATAACTACATAATATGATAATAACCCGAAATAGCCCCGAAAACCGATTTAGCCTGCCCGAAATCCGAATTTGTGCAACCCGACTAGTCCGATTAATTTTTTTTAAAGGGTAGGGTTTCAATTTACAAATCCGATAACCGAACGGGTATATCAAAACTCAACCCGTCCAACCCAAACCCGTCCGACGCTCTCCCCTACATAGACATTTGGACAGAAAGTCCTGCCCTCTTTCAAACTAATTGCCTGTGTACACAGGCAATTCAGAGGGGTGGGTACAAAATGGGGTACATTTTGGGGTACCCCATTTTGTACCCACCCCCTGAATTGCCTGTGTACACAGGCAATTAGTTTGAAAGAGGGCAAACTGTAGGACACTTTTTAAAACACATTTTATGCTGTACCATGTAAAATATTTTACATCCATTTATCGTACCTATAGAATTTTTGTTCTATTTAGAAGTGAAATCTCAGAGTATAGCTAGCCCTCTAGGTCGATATCAATAGCAATGAAGCAAAGTAATGTTCCGTATATTTATTATAGCTACGATAAATGGATGTAAAATATTTTACATGGTACAACATAAAATATGTTTTAAAAAGTGTCCTACAGTTTGCATTAAATAGTTAAAACAAACAGTGTAAAATGTTTACCTCCCCACACTTTATACGCAAAATGTTTACTTTACATAATGACAAACGGATCCTAAACAAGAAGCAGAATCAGTTCCAAATACCCCACACGGATGAAACTTCTAATAATCCTAAAAATATCCTTTTTAGATAAACTTCTCCCCCCAAAAGGGCCATTTGGTCTGGGCAGTCAGTCGGGCCAAACGGATCCTGTAATGGGTTCTTTTAAAACATGGAAAAACTTTGAAAAAGAAGAAATTTGAGGAAGGGGCGCCAGTGAAGCAGAAAGTAGTGAAAGTGGAGGTAGAGCTGCTTATACCTGATGACGAAGTAGGGTTGAGTGGCATACTGTCATCCTTGAAAATCGCCCCATTCTTCCATGGATGCTACTACAATGGAGACGAGCACTTCATCCCCTTCTTTCAATTTCACGGTTCTAGAATCTCTGGTTGGCAATTCTGCCGAAGAAATTGAGAAGAGCTGGAGTGGGTTTTGCTCCGTTTCGGAAGCTCTACTTCATTGCAGTGATGATATATCTCTCAGCTCCGAGCTCATTTCAAATGTCCACTGTCTCTGCAAGTACGGCCTCGAGTCTCTGATTAAAGATCACTTCCTGCATTCAGTTCAGGTCTGTTCAAACAAAGCATGAGATTATGAGTTCCCTATTGATGCTTTCACGCTAAGTTGTAACATGATTGCTATTTCGCGCTACTAAAGTAAGTTTTTTTATTGGGTGGGGGGACTTACATTCTTCATTGTGAATGTTCCATGCGATTTTGCAGTGATCAGTTACTAACCCACTAAAAATAGTTTTCTTTTATTGAATATAACAGCTATGGAGTGTAAGACACATTGCATAATTGATATAAAGGGTGAAAATTAATGATTTTTTCATAGTATTAGTGAAATAAGGTTGAACTCTACCGGAATATTAATGAAATGAAGAGAACTTGTTTTATCTCTTTTAATTCTAGAGTATTCTGATTAGCTATAAAAGTATGAGTCAATTTTGTGTTTTTTTGTAGAAAGTATTTAAATGAGCGTGGTTAAGATACAAATGTTACGTTAAATGTGTGGACACACATGAAAAGACCGATTGAGAATTGAGACATTAGACAAAAGGTGGGAGTAGCCCGCACCTATTGAAGATAAGATGTGGGAGTCTCGAGTTGATTTGACCATGTGCGTAGAAGACCAAGTGATGCACTTGTTAGGTGAGTTGAGAGGAAAACCAAACAGACGTGTACTAGATGAGTCAGGAGTGATATGGCACTTCTTGAGTTGGATAAAGTATGACTTTTGAAAGAGCGAAGTGAAGGGAAATATTTGTGTGGAAAAATGATCTCATTTATCTTTTTTTTTAATTATCTTTTTTATCTTTCTTGTTCTCTTTTTTGTTTTTATTGTTTTATCTTATCTTTTTATCTTTATCTTATGTTTAGGTTATTTTTTTCCTTTTTATCTTATTTTGTCTTTTTCTTTTTCTTTTTAGCTCCGATTTCATATGTAGATTCATGTTAGCGGACCACAAAATCTTTTGGAGCTCAGGCTTGTATGTTGTTGTTTTTGTAGAAAGTATTTGAAGAAAAAGGTGCATCAAGATTTTGGAGGCATTTTGATCCTTATACAAATGTTGCTGCACTTAAAAGGAACAATGATCCGGTGAGCATTCAGATGGTTTTTGTAGACAGAAATTTGCCATCTTTTCACTAAATAAAATTATCAAGCCCATGCAAGCTTCATATGGATCTTGATTTGTACTATCATTCAAAATTTCAACCAGATGCTTGAGGATCAGATTCAGAAGCTATTATGTAAAGCTCTGGAAGAGATATCATCTGAAAAGCAATGCCATGAGAAGTGCCTATTATTATTGATTCATTCTTTACAATCATATAAAGTGGACAAGTCAAAAGGGTGTCCCGGTTTGGATGACATAAGAGACTACTTGTTATCAAAATACCAGCTAATGGTTTCTTCAGTGATCATGGCCAGTGTGCCTAGGCACTTTCCTGGTATGCTCCTCAATAGTGGCAAGTGAATATCTGTATATTCATATTTGTAACTCTTTTCTAATTGTTTTTTCTTTTATTCTACATATAGAACTGTTACACTGGTACTTCAAGGGAAGGCTAGAGGAATTGAACACAATTACGTCAGGTTATTGTGAACCTGAACCTGAATTAGATTCTGATGATGAAATGGTTCCTGTTGAGAATTGCAAGCAACCAAAAAGAGACTGCGTTATGGATATTGATATGAGCCATCAGCAAACAATGTTTTCAGTGAACAATATTATAGTGAAGAGCATTGGGATGGTCGTCCGCAATCTGAGAAGTCTTGGATGTACATCTCTGGCCGAAGATGCCTATGCTTCTGCCATATTTTTGCTTCTACAGGTCCCAACTTTATCAGATAATTGCTTCTTGCTTTTATATTTCTACAACATTCAGACCAGTTTCATTCATGTATAGTCTTTGTCATATTTCAAGTTGCCACATTTCCATAACTCATTTAGGCTCTGATAAGTTTGTATTCTTGACTTCAATGTAGGACAAAGTACACAATTTGGCTGGCGATGATTACAGAAGCTCAGTTTTGGAATCTATCAAACTGTGGATACAGGTTATTGCACACTTGCAGTGACCATTTTTTTGTCATAATTGTTTGCCTAGATGTTCCCATGGGGCAGATATGTTTTCCTTACTGATATACATAAAATTATGCAATGGACAATTGGACATATGTCATACACTCATACCTACAGAAGCAATGCGTATTTTAATTTATTTCAGATAAATGCCAGGTAGATAACTAATTATTGATAAATGTATGAATGGCCACTTATTCCCAAAAACTAATTTCCAACATTGTTTGGAATAATGAACCAACACTCTGTGCTGATTGGCTTTAGAGGTGCTTTAAAGTAAAACTTTAGTTTTAAAACCCGGCTCTAGTTGGGTAAATGAAGTTTCATCAAATAGGGTACTATTTTTTCAGCTGGGACGGATAAAGTCACATATATGTAGTCTGATTGAATTGTTGTTTGAATTCTAACGCATGATCTAAAATATGTCCAGGCAGTGCCCCTCCAGTTTTTGCATGCACTTCTTGCTTATCTTGGTGATGCCACCAGAACAGAAAGTCCATCCTCCGGTCGTAGATCACCTCTTGCATCTCATCCCCCTTCATGTTATTTTGGAAATGAAATTCCATCTGAGGGACTTGTTAGATGGCAACTCCGGTTGGAGTATTTTGCTTATGAGACCTTACAAGATCTAAGAATAGCCAAACTTTTTGAAATCATCGTGGATTATCCAGACAGGTGAAGATCTGTTCCTTTTTATTGCCTTTTTACCCTTTTATTTCTTTCCCTTTGACATCTATATAGATGTGCTTTCTTTAGCCAATCTGGTAGCATTGGGTTTTGGATTGTGATTGATGTTGAGTCTTGTGATAATGCAATTGTATCTTCTTTGTAACTAATGGATTCTATCATTTCACCCAAGGTTGTTAAAATCGCGATTTGGATCGTAAAATCGTACGATTTTACGATTCAATATCACTAAACCAATTTGAATCGCCCAAAAAATCGGAAATTTTAAAAATCGTATAAAATCATTTCGGAATCGCAAAAAAATCTTTAAAATCACGATTCTTTAAGATTTTACGACTTTAGGAATACAAGGTTTAGCCAAGCTAAACTCGGCCCAGTGTACTCAGGCCTGAAACCAACGAAGGAGATAAGATGCAAAAGGTGCCAGCCTTATATAATGCAAAGGAGAGAGAAGTTTTGTTTGTGTTTCCAGTGTGGAAAATTTTTGTTAGTGAAGTGTGTTACGCACCAACCAGTGCAGCACTATGCAGCAAAAGGAGAAGAGAATATACATTGTGTTTCCCGGTGTGGGCAAGTGATATTTGATAGAACAAAGACTAATTTTTAAAGAAGTAAAACTTTATGTCAGATCTGGGAATTTAACTTTACCAATGCCTACCAACAGTTACTTTGAGATTTAGTAGAAATATTAACATATTTATAGATTGAACTTAGAAAACATGTAGTTGTACTATTTCAACTAATGTTTATATACCTTTTCCATTTATATATTTATTGTTAAATTTGATTATAACATTGTATTTAAATATTGTCTTTTATTCTTTGATTACATTACATTATTTTGTGCACTTTAATTAGACATCATTATAAGACTTAAAATATATATATAATGGTTTGATTTATAGACTTAAATTTGAATTAATTTGACTTATTAATGTTTTGATTGCATTTTTTCTTTTATAAAATATTTTTAGTATTTTTTGTTAAATGTTTATAAAATCTTAAGATTTACGATTCGATTTTTAAATCCTTGTTCTGATTCGATTTAAAAATACGATTTTAACAACCTTGATTTCACCCGTTTCTTAACTGGCATTATAAGTAACTGTTCAAAGCATCCTCCATTATTCCCTTTCATGAGACCTTACGGCCCTGTTTGGTTGGAGGCTTTCGGAGGGGAGGGGAGGGAAGTGAGGGATTTGTGTGTGTTTGGTTGAAGGAAATAGGGGGGAAGGGGAGGAAAGTGGAAGGCTTCCAAAATCCTCCACTTTCTCCCATTCTAAACCCTCCAAATCGGGGTATTTCGGAGGAAACATGTTGATAACCACAAACTATATCCATCTCCTACGTGAATAAACAAAACGTTATAATATAAAAAAGGTAAAAAATAAAAAGTTTTGAAAAATTCAAAAATTTAAAATTTTAAAAATTGAAAAAAAATTAAAAAAAAAAATTAAAAAATTATAAAAAATTAAATTTTAAAATTAAAAATTAAAAAACTAACATAACTAAAAATTAAAAAATTAAAAGTTAAAAAAATAAAAAATTAAAAACTCCGGTTGGAGTATTTTGCTTATGAGACCTTACAAGATCTAAGAATAGCCAAACTTTTTGAAATCATCGTGGATTATCCAGACAGGTGAAGATCTGTTCCTTTTTATTGCCTTTTTACCCTTTTATTTCTTTCCCTTTGACATCTATATAGATGTGCTTTCTTTAGCCAATCTGGTAGCATTGGGTTTTGGATTGTGATTGATGTTGAGTCTTGTGATAATGCAATTGTATCTTCTTTGTAACTAATGGATTCTATCATTTCACCCGTTTCTTAACTGGCATTATAAGTAACTGTTCAAAGCATCCTCCATTATTCCCTTTCTTGCGAGCTTATAGCCTGATATAAATTTTACCTATGTAATATCTCAGAGTTTTTAACTAAACTCTTTCACAGTGCACTTGCCATCGAAGACTTAAAACAATGTCTAGAATATACTGGGCAACACTCAAAGTTGGTTGATTCCTTTATCACATCATTGAAATATCGATTACTAACAGCTGGTGCCTCAACTAATGACATATTGCACCAATACGTCTCAACAATTAAAGCACTTCGAACCATCGATCCAGCAGGTGTGTTTCTAGAAGCTGTAGGCGAGCCTATACGGGAATACCTGAGGGGTAGAAAAGACACAATAAAGTGCATTGTGACAATGCTGACTGATGGGAGTGGTGGAAATCCCAATGGAGCAGGAAGCTCAGGGGATAGCCTTCTTGAAGAATTAAACCGAGATGAAGAAAATCAAGAGAACACTAATGTTGATGAAGATTTTAATACTGATGACAGACAAGCGTGGTTGAATGCTCAAAGGTGTGTCTATGTTTGTTTTGTCAATGTGAGGATGAGTGTATTCATTAGAAGCAGATTGTTTTTTCCCTCTGACATAGTTTCTTGATATAAATGCTGTTTAGGTGGGAGCCTGACCCTCTAGAGGCTGACCCAATGAAGGGAAGCAGGAATCGAAGAAAAGTTGACATACTTGGAATGATTGTCAACATTATAGGTTCAAAGGATCAATTGGTTAATGAATATCGTGTGATGCTTGCAGAAAAGTTGTTGAACAAATCTGATTATGACATTGACTCAGAAATACGCACTTTGGAACTTCTAAAGGTAATTAGTCAAACAATTTGTATCTTTTAGCATTTGCTATGTTTTTTCTCTCCTGACGGCATATATCATTCTGAAGTTTTTCTTTGTTGTTTGCAGATTCATTTTGGAGAGAGCAGCATGCAGAAGTGTGAAATTATGCTCAATGATCTAATTGATTCAAAAAGGACAAATACAAATGTAAAAGCGAAAATCAAGAGTCAATCTCAGCCAGGTAATAATCATTACAACATCCAACCTTAGCCCCATAAGAGTGTGGGGTCAGCTAACATGAATCGACATATGCAATCGGAGCTAAAGAAATAAATAAAAAAAGATAAAAAAAATAAGACAAGATAAAAAGATAAGATAAAGATAAAAGATAAATAAGATAAAAAGATAAAATAACATAAGAAAGATAAAAAGATAAGATAAGATAAAAAGATAAAAAGATTGGATAAAAAGATAAATGATAAGATAAAGATAAAAGATAAAAAGATAAAATAACATAAGAAAAACATCATTCAACAACCAACATCCAAGCCTTATTCCCAAAAGATTTTGGGGTCGGCTAACATACAACGATTCTAACCATGCTTCGGAATTGATAAGTTGGAAAACATCATTATTGTCACATTTTTTTTATTCTTCTGCCTCTGCCTCTGCCCCCAATAATACTGATTTCTCCAAGCATGATCGATCTCTACTCTGAAACAGTTTCGGAAGAGCAGCATGAGATGCCCCTGGACACACTTAATGCTACAATCATATCTTCAAATTTCTGGCCATCTATTCAGGTTTGTTTCATTTGTTTGAGGCAACATCCCTCACATTATATTTTTGAACATCCACAGTTTTTGATGACAAATGACTATCATCTTTACGAGGTGTTTTTCTGAGGGTTTAAACATGCATAAGGTTTATGAGTCAATTATATTATAGTGATTTATCTCTGCAACTTTTCACTTGTGTTGCTATCAATCTTTCTATAAGTTTGCAAACAATATTAGTTCCTTTACTTTACTTTTGTTGGTTTCATTATATCAGTTACTTGGTAAGTGGTTTATTTATTTATTGAGGCAGGACGAACCGCTTATCTTACCTGGGCCAGTGGAAAATCTCTTGAGTGATTATGCAAAAAAATATACTGAAATTAAGACCCCAAGGAAACTGCTATGGAAGAAAAGTCTTGGAACTGTGAAGGTTGGTTTCCAAACCCTAGTGGCGCATGTTTCTTAAATCTATCTCTATTTTCCTACCCATTATCCATGGAAGGATGTTGACGAACTTGTTATTTCTGTTTCACTTTAGCTGGAATTGGAGTTTGAAGACAGAGCACTGCAGTTCATGTGCACCCCTCTTCATGCTTCCATTATAGTGCAATTTCAAGAGCAAAAGAGGTAACATGGGTACTATCTTTTTTTTTGGGGGGGGGGGGGGTCATTTACATCTGCTTAGATCAATTATGCCATGTTAAGCTGTACTTGTGTGTCCGTCTCAACGGATCCAGGTGGACATCTAAAGATCTTGCAGCTGCTCTAGGAATACCTATGGATGTTCTATCTAGGAAGATAAACTTTTGGATAAGCAAGGTTAGTTAGCCCTACAGACTATTCCCATTGACTACATTTGGGATGTGGAGTACTGAAGGGAGGTGGCAGGGATGCCACAGGCAATGCAATGGGAAGTCAATTTTGATTATAACACTATGAAATTTTACATCATCATCATCATCATCATCATCATTATCATTACCCCAGTGCCGCAAAGGCTCCCACCTACGGTGGGGTAAGGGGGTTGGATGTACACAGTCTTACCCCTGTACTAAAGCACAGAGAGACAGTTTCCGGATGACCTAAACACTATAAAATTTTACACGTATTTATATTTCTTAGTCTATATGATACTGTAGAAATATATTAATAAAAAGAGTCTAGACTTAAAGGGTAATGGGTTTCATGCGATGAACCTTAACTGACTAATGTGTAGAAATGTAGAATTGATTTATCACATTTAGATCTTTTATTATTATTAGTATAAGTTTCACTCATTTTTTCTTTTCTTAAAAACTTCATCCATATATTTTCCTCTCTACCTTCTTTCGTTAACATTTTTTAGGGTTCCAAATGGGCCTATAATTTCTCACTATTGTATTAACTGGCAGAAAGATTCAGATTTCCTCATCATGTGATTTGGTTTTGTTTAGGGAGTGCTTGCAGAATCACCTAGACCAGATTCGAGTGACCACATCTTTACTCTGGTTGAGGCATTGGCTGATACAGGTAAAACTGGGAGAAGCAGTGGAAGTTGTGATGAATTTTTGGCCTGTGAAGAAGATGGAGAGAGTACAGTAGCCTCCGTTGAGGATCAGTTGCGGAAAGAAATGACTGTCTATGAGGTAATCTGCTAAATTATTTTCTTTTGTCCTGGAATATCATGCCATCATGCCATCATGGGGTTAATTTCTGGCTATGTTAAATATTTGTGTTTCTCCTAGTAACAATTAGAGTCCATTTGAAATTAGGCTTGTCAACAAATTTAATACTCCCTCCATTCTTTTTTAACTGTCACAGATTCATTTTTGGGTTTTTTATTATTATTATTTGTCCAACTTTCCATTTTTTAGCAATATTTTCTTATTAAAATACCTTTATTCTCTCACTTTTATTACACGTACTTTTTTTTTTACTTTTTACGAACTACTTTCTCTTTCCTACTTTCTTCTCTTAATATATTCTCTCTTCTTTTTCATTTATCCCACACCCTCTATATTACCCCTACTATTTTCTTCTCAAATACCACAAAATACCTACTAGGACACTTAAAAAAGAACAGAGGGAGTAGTTCTATTTCAATTTGTAATTCAAATTTGAAAATATGGATTGGAGTTTGGATAAACCGAATATGATTTTGACTTTGTTTTTTCAAAGAGGGTTCAAATACGAACACAAATACTATTATAATTGGTTCAGGTAATATTTGAATGTATTCATATTCGTATTCACACATACACACATGTCTCTCTATACATATATAGGGATGTGTTCAAATAAAGATTACTCTTCTCATGAAAAGTGGGAATTATGTATATCATATATTGCTTCAAAGTGAGTGGATTAGATCAAATCGTTGGCATTAACGTAATTTTGATAAATCTAAATGTCAAACAAAAAATAAATCAAGTGTATTAGTATAACATAAAGGTTTAAATATGTTTTTAGTCCTTGCAAATATTGTACATTTTGTTTTCATCCTTGTAATTTTTTTTTGTTTTTGTTTTTCATCCTTGAAATATATGTCAATTTTCTATTTAGTCCATCACCGATGATAACAACCTCCGTTTGACCTCAAAATAAACCTGACTAATAGGTTTCCTCTAATTCTTTGTCAGGTTATTCAAAAAGTATTTAATTTATTTTTAGAAGGTTTTTAAACATATTTTTAAAATGTGAATAATTAGTTTTGCATTGTTTTAACTCTCATATTAGCCTCAAATTAATTATAAAAGGATAAATTTAAATGTTTCTAGTAGATTTAAGCAACTCACATTAACTTTTTTTCTAAATAAAGTGGATTTGGAGTTAAAGATGGACTAAAAAAATGCATAGTACAGTGATGAAAAAAAATACAGGGACCTAAAAAAGTGTCATATTTGCAGGGATTAAAAACGTATTTAAGCCTAACATAAAAGTGCACTACAGTCATATACTAAAAACCATAACAATTAACAGTAATTTTGATTCTAGCACATTTTGTTTGAAATATGATTCTCCTTTTACTCAGACTAATGCAATATATGCACAAAACGATGCATTTTTTACATGCCAAACTTTAAGAAGTTTATGAAAATGTCATCAGGTTTTTACTTTAAAATTTCATCTAATCAACTGATTTTATTAAATCAATGACCATGGTTAGTTCTTTTATGTATAATGATAACGAAGAAAAATATATAACTATATATATAATGATAATCATTTAATATGTCATATATTTGTTCATCCTAATTATAAAACTTAATAATTTGAAGTGTACAATTTGAAACTTAGGATTAAATCTAGTTAATCGACTTAATCCGCCAAGAGTAAGTATAGGGCAATATCTTTATGTACATTGATATGAAAAGTTAGCATTCTCATGGATTTCTGAAGTACTCCCTCCGTATCACATTATCTGTCCCATTTGCTTTTACATGTAATTTAAGATAATTATTGTAATCTTTACAAAAAGATAAAGAGTGGTCTCGTATTATCTTTTCCCCTCATTTTTTTTCTTGTTTTTTTATCCTTTTTATTTTAAACATTATTTTTATCCTTTGTATTTTATCATTTTTAGGTATATTCATCTCTTTTTATATTATCTTTTTCATAATAGCTTATCTTTTTTATCTTTATTTTCTTTCTTTTCCTTTTGGTGGTGATATCATGTATCGATTCATGTTAGCCGACCCCAATATCTTTTGGGACTAAGGCTTGGATGTTGTTGTTGTATTGTTACGGTAGCGCTACTGTAGCGATACCCTAACTGTGTTAGGGTGAGTTTCTTTTCACAAAAGGAAATGGGACAATTATTTTGATATGTTTCAAAACGGAAAGTGGGACAGATAAATTGATACGGAGGGAGTAGATTTTAAGTATGACCAAGCAACATGTGGTCTTGCAGTTACATATAAGATTTGTATCCAACATATGTTGTGAAAATTAAAAAGAAAGCGTGTGCCTTAAATTAGAATCTCAGTTACCTAAAAAAATGGGCACAACTTTTGAAAATTCAAAAAATCAAACAGAATTCAATTATATCTGAAGAAAATAAGATTATGTTGATAAATGAATAATTAAACATGAATTTTTTCTAACATGCATAATAATGCACAATATTTTTCTTGATTCGATTCACTTACATCCCTATTTGGAACATGGAAAACTGTAGGGAAAGAAAAATACAGAGGAAAATATAGGGAATATTTGAAAGGAAATAAAAAATGGCAAGAAATGAGTAAAAAATTACTCAAATACTACGTATCATTTTCTAACGTAAAAATGCACACAGGAAAAATGTATCCTTAGCATTGGTTTTCCTTTCTCTAGCATTTTATTGGATTTAAACATACCCTAAGACTATTCCTTGCTGGCAGTTCTGGTTTTGCTAATCCAGTGGAAGTTGAAGGGTATAGTTTTTGCTTATATATGTGTGTGTGTAATACATGGGTAAAACATGGCTAAAAAGTTGTTCAATTTTGATTGTAGAAATTTATCACGGGAATGCTCACCAATTTTGGCAGCATGGCATTGGACCGCATTCATAATACCCTAAAGGTACCATTATTGTTGTTATCAACCGTGGATGATTTAGAGGCCATTTGGTGAACTTGTTTTTCGGCTTATCACGCTTATCCGTCAACATTTCACCAAACACGTAATTTTTGATTTAGCGCATTGAATTTTGTAATAATAAGAAAAAGTAAGTTTGTAGTTACTTTTCTGGTTTTATTGGTTGAGGGTATAGTAGAGGATCATTTTAGCTTTTTTTCAAATAACTTTTTCTTTATTTTATTCATAAAATATATTTGAAATATAATTTTCTCATAACTCAGCAGAATTAGCCAATTCAACTTTAGTCAGAACTTAATAAATTTGAGCAGAATCAACCAATTCAGCCGATTTTGGTATTACCAAATGGGCTCTAGAGCCACTTAGGTAAGGGTTTACATTTGGCTAAAATTGTCAAATGAAGATGAACTGAATATAATGAAGTTGTGGGGAGCTCAATATTCAAAAGCATATTACTAAATTATATTTCAAATACAGCTTAAATGAAAGAAAATGATAATATCCAAAACAGAAATCACTTTAGTTTCAACCTGTGTTATCATACCCAAACCGGCCCAACAGGTCGACCCAGAACCCGGCGACCCGCTTGGAATACCGGGCCAGATGAGGTCTAACTCACAATTCTCCCTAAACCCCGCTTATAACCCGGCTGTAAACCCAGCCCAGAACCCAGAGCCGAGATTTACCCGGCAAACCCACAAGTAAAAGTTTCGCCGTATTGAGGTTTAGAGCCCTAGTCACACCGGAAGAAACCAAGGTGCTTCCCATTCGGCCATAACACCGGATTTGTTTCATTAGCTCTTTAATAATTATTATCCCTCAATGTTTAAAGTTAAAACATTATTACTGCCTTTTAATAAAGAATAGTAATACCTATTATTAGTAATATTATACTGTCGGATTATGTGTGTGTATATTATATAATTCGTATATAGAGTAGCGTTCCTGTCCAGCCAGCCTGATGGGGACCACTGTCCGGACGAAACAATTTGTGGCCCTTCCCAGTGGAACTTTTTGATGATTTTTTTGAGCATGTTTTTCATCATTTCTAGTTTATTCCCACCAAATTTCAGCTAAAAATTCAACCAGGAAAGAACCGAGAAAGCAGTTAAACAATATTTTTAAGAACACTCCACTTTATATATATATATATATAGAGAGTAGTGTTCCTGTCAAGACCTTCAAAAAACGGACCTCCGTACGGAACTCGGCGTTTAGGCCCCTTCTATGTGGAATTTTTTGATGAAATTTTTTGAGCATGTTCTTCATCAAGTCTAGTTTACCCATACCAAATTTCAGCTAAAAATTTCATCGGGAAGGCAGTCAATTGATTTTTTGAAGTTGACCGCACACTTTATATACATATAAAATGTAGTTAACTTCCAAAAATTATTTGACTGCCTTCCTGATGGAATTTTTAGTTGAAATTTGGTATAGGTAAACTAGACTTGATGAAGAACATGCTCAAAAAATTTCATCAAAAAATTCCACCGGGAAGGGGCCCAAACGCCGAGGTCCGTACGAAGGTCCTGACATGAACTTTCCTCTCTCTTTCTCTCTCTCTCTCTTTCTCTCTCTCTCTATATATATATATATATATATATATATATATATATATATATATAGGTAGGAGATGGTTCAAATAAAAAGTGTTCTTCCCGTGCAAAATGCGAAATTTGCACTTTTTCATGTTTCTCTTGCACGTTTTCATGTTCTTGTTGCACTTTTTCATATATATATATATATATATATATATATATATAGAGAGAGAGAGAGAGAGAGAGAGAGAGAGAGAGTCCCGTTCATATCAGGAGCTCCTGAAGTGAAGCTCCGTGCGGACAAGCCCATCAGAGGGTCTTCCCGGTGGAATTTTTTGATGATTTTTTTTGAGCATGTTACTAATCAAGTCTATTTTGTCCATACCAAATTTCAGCTCAAAATTCGATCGGGAAGGCAGTCAAATATGTGCGCAGAATGCGCCATATTTTCCAGGATTTACTTGACTGCCTTGCCGATCGAATTTTGAACTGAAATTTGGTATGGACAAACTAGACTTGATGATGAAGATGCTCAAAAAATTTCATCAAAAAATTCCACCGGGAAGACCCTCTGATGGGCTTGTCCGCATGGGGCTTCTCTTCAGGAGCTCCGGATAGGAACGGGACTATATATATATATATATATATATATATATATATATATATATATATATAGGGATAAGATCAGATATAAAGTATGTTTCCCATACAAAATACAAATTCATTCCATCCATCCAAGATTACAAAATCAAGGGCACCAATTGTTTGGGCTATTAATTTTCAGCCGTTAGACGGCTAGTGGGAAATCAAGGAAAGTTTTCTTATTTTGTTGCAACTACATGCGGTTAGTGGGGGGAGGTTTTCCCATCAATACACGGTAATCTCATTCTATGGATGTCTAGGATTAATTTGCATTTTGTAAATTAGGATGAGTTTGTATGCGATTCTATATATATATATATATATATATATATATGTATATATATATAAACGGCGTAGAGTTTTTCAATTAAGCATTTGATTGTCTTCTCAAATGAATTTTTAGGTTAAATTTGGTAGACATAAACTAGACTTGATGGAGAACATGTTCAAAAATTTTCATCAAAAAATTCCACCGAAGAGGGCCCCAAACAGTCTCAGGCCGGCTGGACATGAATTGCCCTCATATATATATATCATTTTTTTGCGATCAACTCTTCTACTTTATAAGCTTATGGTACTTACTGTCATTATTAAATTAATAATCATAATCCCCCCCTCCCTTTATGGATTTAATATGAATAATAATTACACATATTTTATATTTCTTTTTTAACAAATATTGACCAGGTGTTTAGCCATTTATCGGGCTGACCCTTCAGGTCCTGGTTGACCCTTGACCCTATAACTTTTTCGGGTCACCCTCTGGTCCAGTTTTAACAACATAAGTTTCAACCAATAATGTAACATACGAGTATGATTTACTTGCTTTTCTCTTCAATATATTAGCAGAAATAGAGCTCGTTTGGTATCACTGGAATTAGTCAAATTTGTTGAAATTGATGAAATTCTTTATTTATAAAAAGGATTTTTTTTTATGAAAATAACTAAATTGGTGTTATACGTTTACTTAAGCCAATTCAGTCAAAAAAGTAAATTCAACTTTACTTATTTTGATTATTGCATAATTCAACATGTGAAATCAAAAAATACGCGTTTGGTAAAAAAGGTGGTCAGAAGCTAAAAATAGGGACTACCTAATGAGATCAGAGACAACACAGTGAATTTAGGCCTTGTTCGGTACCATTTTATTGTTTTTGTTTTTCTGCTTCTTTCAATACCTAAAGGAACAATTTAGAAAACAAGAAAATTTGTTTTTTTTTTTTGTTTTCAAAAATTAACATTGTTAGTGTAAGCAATTAATTCCACTTTTGGTCCTACGAGTTTTGTTCCAATTCCGCCATTAGTCCACGTCTTTCACTTTATCCACTTTTGGTACTTGACTAATGTTTTTTAACCATTTGTGGTCCTTTTCCGGCGATTTTAACCATCGGAAACAATGCTGGAAGAACCATATATGGGCGAAAACACAATAGTCATGTACCAAAAGTGGACAAAGTGAAAGATGTGGACTAAATGTGGAAATCATCTAAAACTCGTAGGACCAAAAGTGGAATTTATTCTAAGTGTAAGTGTGATAATTGAGTTTCACCACTAAGTTGACGATGGATTGCTGTGGCCTGTGGTTCCTCTACGGCTTGGACACCAAAATAAGGAATAGTGAACGGAGAAAGACATGAGAGAAGAAAATAGTAGTAGTTTTTTTAGTTCATTAGACAACATATATCATAATATCATATACGGAGTACTACGTGCCATTTATATCACTCAACAAAAAGTTTAGAACAGACACCGTAATGAATGGGCCCTAAAATTAGGGTTTTTATAAAAAAAAAGATGAATGATGAGTACAAAAGTCAATAAACGAAATTCATGGCAGCAAGAAGCATGGAAAATCTCGATAAGGAGTGTACTTACAATTCGTAAACTCTACCGAAAATCTTCAGAAATTCTCCAAATACTTGTTTTTCTATTAAAACATGACGTTTCTCGTTTCCCCATGTTCCCACGATTCCGTGCAACATAGCATGACAAATTGACAATGAAGTATTACTTCCTGTGTGTTCGGCATGACAATTGACAATGAAGTATTACTTCCTCTGTGTTACTTTTTTTGTGGTTCAAACATTTCATACTTCACAAATTCAATATCAACCATATTATTTCACTTTCTTTAATAAGCGTGCGACTATAAGTAGTACCTCATAGCATACTTCTTATTTTTTGTAGTATACCTACCATACGACTTTTTGTCTAAGGATGACTCCTGATATTATGAATAGACTATAATCCTAAAGTAGCTTGCCCAAGAAACACTTGTTTTTTTTGTGTGTGCAGATGTTTTGCATTGCTGATCCAACATATGACAAATCCCTCCAACAGCTCCAAAGCTTCTTATCTGGTCTAGTGGCAGAAGAGAAGTTAGAACTTCGGGATGGAATGTACCTTCTCAAAAAGTGAAGGGTGATTCCTCCAAGTAAATCACAACCAAAAGGATCATAACATTGCTTTATAAAGGTGATACCCTAAACTACCGAATGCGGATCCTCTGTATTAGGGGTGTTCGTCGGTTCGGTTTTGGCGGTTTCGGTTTTATCGGTTCGGTTTTAGTCGGTTTCGGTTTTTAGTCGGTCGGTTTTGATCGGTTTCGGTTTTAGTCGGGCGGTTTTAGCGGCTTTAAAAATAGATGAAACCGAGAATCGGACCACAAAAATTGAGACAATTTTGGTCAATTTTAGCCATTTTTGCCGGTTTATTTTCATTTGACCGGTTTTTAAGCCAAAAGTACGAACCCTAAGCCGAATAACCGATGAATTAGTCAATTTCGGTCGGTTTCGGTTTTATCGGTTCGGTTTTGGTCGGTTTCGGTTTTGGTCGGTCGGTTTCGGTCGGTTTGGCGGTCGGTTTCGGTTTTTCGGTTTTTTTGTTCACCCCTACTCTGTATGGCCTTAAAGTTGGCTATTTTGCTGTAGAAAGATTGTTTCATCAATCAAAGTTTTATTGGTCACGTAATGTGATGCTCGTTGGGCATGACCATGACTCTAGCTTTAAAGCCATGAAGAGGATCAACATTCCTTGCTGTAACTCTACAAGGGCCTCACTTTTTTGAAGGCAACTTGCATTCTTTTCTCTTAAAAATGCTCAATATTTAATATACATTGTTTAGGCTGAGCACATTCTTGTTTTGACCAGAAAATGGATTGAAGATTCATATTCGGAATGTTCTTGCCTCAACATTTGGATGGAATTTAGAAAAAAACATACTCCCTCCGTCCCGGAAAATTGTTCCCGTATTGACTTGGAACAGAGTTTAAGAAAGTGGGAATAAAGTGGAAATGTATGGTTGTGGTTGAGTAAGAAAAAGGTAAATGAATTGTAGCCACAAAAAACTTTCCAAAAGGGGAAAGGAGAACAATTTTTTGGGACGGTCCAAAAAGGAAACAGGGAACAATTTTCAGGGGCGGATGGAGTATTTTTTTATTTAACACATATTAGTGATAAACATAGCTAAACACTAGCTCATACTACTCATAAAAAAACAGAGGTGTTATTTTTACATATTTATACCAGCAAAAAGTTATGATTTGACAAAGATCAATAGCAAAAATTTAAAAAAATACGAGTGAAATTTAGAGTTAAAAAAACTAACAGTAATAAAATACATATACCAATATAATGAAACGTCTTACTGCGAAGTTCAAACAGCAAAATACTTGTATATTCATTTGTCAAAATAATGATAAAGAATCCGCTAGTCATTAAGTGACAGTCTGACGCAATGTACTATTGTATTGTGACTTAATGATTAACCATAAAAAAACTCCAAACCTTTAATCAGCCAATAATTTATCCTTTTGTTCTCCAAAAATGTTGTTGGTACTAATATTGTCTACTTTACTCCTAGTCGTCTGTCCAAACACACAATTCATTAAAAAGAATTGAAGATGCCTTCTAGACAGACAACTAGACATGATCTACACAATATGTGTACAAAGTATGTGTACATCAAGCATTGTTGTTTGTTTTTTATAACTTAAAAGAATGTTTAGTGTACATATATTTTTACACATATGGTGTACACCCTCTTAGTTGTCTGTCTATAAGGCAACACTTAAATGAATTGTCTGTGTATATAGACAATTAGGGGTGTATACCATATGTATACCAACAACATTTTGTATCTTACAATATGCGCGTCATGTATACATTGGTATATGTTGGTGTACATCCTATAAAACCATACAAAACTTACCATTTCCTTCACCCCTCTCCCATTCTTCTCTTTCATACGAAAATCTCTTTTACATTTTCTTTCTTCTTCATATCTTCCATCTTTCATCTCCATCGTCTCTCATCTTCATCATTCTACAAATGAATCACCTCCCATATTCATCTTCCTTAATCATCTTCTATCTTCATCATATCAATTTGTGTTATATTTTATCTTATCTATTTCAACTCCAATGTAGTTGGAGTCGCTAGAAATATAATAGGAGTTGGAGTAAACGGAAATGTTGCTGGAGTTATTATTTGTGCTTTTGTAAGATATTGTCTGTATCATCCTGATTTTTGACAAAATTTGTTTGTGTGAACAAATCAAATTGAATGCATGCGCACAAACAAAAAGTATGTGTACAAACACTTTTTGTCTATAGAATTGATGTCCGTATATAGACATTAATTAGGATGTAACACACATTGATTTGCGTACTTTTTGCAAAAAAAGTCAAGGTTAGGTTGCTCGGGAATCAATGTTTGTGTATACAAATATTAGTTGTTTGTACACACAAAAAATGTATGTACACATACATTTTTGTCTGTTTACACAGACATTGGTTTCTGTACAACCTAAACTTGACTTCTATGCAACATTTTTGTCTGTGTACATAAAGATTGAAAGCAAACTAGTATCTGTATCTAAACATTATTCGTTTGTGATGAATTTTTCAAAAAGTTACTTGTTTTTCAATTTCTTTTCTGCCTAAAGACAAATTATATCACTATTCAACATGACATAGAAAATATTTTATAAACCCCTCGCAACTAAAATTTCAGCACCCATTTATCTTAAATTTATGGTAACTATCCGGTGACTCAAACATAATTGTTTTAATTTTTAGCGCACAGATAAAAAATAAAGGTTAATAGTGAAGCACAAATTCTTTATCATAAAAGAAAAAAGGAGTTTATCTTAGAATAGATGAAGAAAGAATTTAGAATAGATGAAGAAAGAATGAATGAAATTCATTTGAGACGGAGAGAATATTTGATAGGTATGTATTTCCTGTCTCAATAAACTTTACTAATTCTCTTTATTTAGCCCATTTGAGAAACTTTATCATTTCTATTTTAAGTCACTAAGTCACGTCTTTCGGAGCCCACATGACCACAGTGACCTAACCTACCTGGAGTGATGTCATCGTCTTTTGGAGCAATGTCACCGTTCATGTTGCACTCGTCATTCGATTTTACTCTTATGGCGGCGCGGATCTCAGGAACCTTGTAATGGTATGACAATTATATTTATAAATATTGACATCCTAAGCTACTAGCGAGGCAAGGGGCTAGGGCAGTAGCGGTGCAGTGGCTGAGGATGTGTTTGTAGGGTAATGGGGTGGACTACATCCAAACTGATGGGATGGGGTAGTGACTGGGGTTGTGGACCATGATGGGAAGTAGTGGGGCACCACTGGGCGGAGCGGCATGTCGGGCAAGGAAGCAAGTCACTGGGTGAGGGCCTCAGGCAAGGGAAGTGGCGGAAGGGGTGACTGAAAGGAGGTCACCAGGAGAGACACAAGGTCACTCGTGGCGGGTCACCATGCCAGTATAGTGATGGACCCGGGTCGGGTACGGGTCGGGCCTAGGCTCGGCCGGGTCTGGATGGCAATGGTTTAGGCCCGGGACCGGCCCAATTGTCTACCGGTTCTGGGCCGGGTCCGGTTCTATTTTTTTTTTGTTTTCTTGATTATTTCATCCCCTACCCCCCATCCCCCAAACTCATCGGAAACACCCAGCCCAGCCCATTTAAACCTAACCCAAACAAAAAAAGGCTCGAACCGGCCGGGCTGGTTCGCATTTTACCTAGTCATGGACCCGGTTCGGGCCGGCCCGGCCCGGCCCGCTACTGTGCGGGCCCGGAACCGGCCTGGTTCTCGGGTCCGGGTCTGGGTCGGGCCTAGGCCCGGTGGGGGGGGGGGGGGGTCCGGGCTCGAGCCTTGTATTTGGCGAACCGGCCCGGTCGGGTCGGGTCCGGGCCTAATTGATTTTTTTTTTTCACTTTTTGGGGTTCCACCTGGGTTGGGCTTGATGGTTTGGAGGGGTTTTGGGGGGGTAGGGGGTGGGGGGGGTTAGGAAAGCAAAAAAAAAAAAACCAAACCGGAGGCCCGGCCCCGCCCGGACCCGGACCGGACCCAGTGGCTACCCGGGCCGGTCCCGGGCCTTCCTTCCAAAAAAAAAGCCCAGCCGAGCCCGGCCCGACCCGGGTCCATGACTAATTTTACCTATCCCGGGACCACCCCCAGTTACAATCTAAAACCGGGCCTAGACCCAGAACCGGTACTTGGTTCCCGGGCCGGGCCCCTACAGTACCGGGTCGGTCCGGGTCCCATGTTGGGTGGCCCGAATCGAGTCCACCACTATGCTGGTAGCTCACAAGAAAGTATGTCACTAGAAGGTGAAGTAATTGACACTTTTGCCGCTGAGGTGAGTTTCATTGGGCCGATCGTAGTCATTGTGGCAGAGGTCACTGCAGCTTAAGTCATTGTGGCAGGTTAGGTCACTAGAGATTACGGATAATTTAGTAAGTTTAATATTTTTGTCAATTTTTGGGAATTTGTAAAAAATGTCACTTTTTTTATTCATTATCACTTTTTAGTAATATTAATGTCAAAACCCCATTTTGTTAACAATCTTAATACCTCCATCCCATAATACTTAACCATCTTCAAAACTTTGACCAACTATATATATTTATTGAAAATTATTCATAATATAAAAATGACATGAAAATGTCTTTTGTTAAATGTACTTTCATAAAAGTATAAAACTTATAACTCTCATAATATTATAGTAATCAAAATCATGATCCAAATTTTTAGATTTCTCTAAGTATTTTAGGACGAAGGTAGTATATTGTTTTAAAAGGTGCAAACATAAATGTAAAAATATTTTTAAAAAATGACATGTATATTACTAATAGAGCTTGTCCGGGCAAAAATATTACTAGTTATGTTTTTTGGACAAAAATAAGACTAATCACTGTGTACGAGTAACTAGATTAGAGTCACTATAATATATTTCAGAATGACAAGTCACATGTAGATTATGAGTTACTGGGAACTAGTTATTAGATATGTCATTTTTAGAAAATTTTAAAAGAATTCATATTTTGTCTTTTAATTTAAATTTAGTACGTAGTACTATGTAATATTTATGGACAAAATACCAAATATTTAACATGTCAAAATAGACAATTGATTCAAAATATTAAAATAAAGAATTAATAGATAAAAAATCAGAATATAGAATTATAAATATAAATATAAAACAACATTAAAAATAGGGAAAATCGCACTTTTAGTCCCTGAAATAGTCATCATATTGAAATGTCAGAGCCGTGTTCTCAAGTTTGTAAATGTCACCTCTCAATTGTCCAAAATGTTGTAAATGTGGTCATTTGAAGAGTGAAATGTATAATGTGTGCGATGATTACGTTTCACCTCTCAAAGGACTACGTTTACACCAATTTGGACAATTGTGGGGTGATATTTCCAATCTCAAAAATACGGGTCTGACATTTCAATATGGTGATTATTTCAGGCACTAAAGGAGTGATTTTCCCTTAAAAATATTTGAAACATGTAGATTATTCAAATAGTTAAAAAACACAAAACATAGATATTTTGACTAACTTTTTTGTTTAATCGATAAGAACATGATTTATTAGAATGTGAACAAAAAATTACAAAATAAATGTATCTGAAGTAGCATTTCTTTAAAGTTGGTTTTGAAATTCCTTGTTTAATGTGCTCTTAGTAGCTTTCCATTGCCTTGATTATGTATGATCAAAATCTTTATCAGTTCGTTAACATTTTATTGCCTTTCTAATGCCTATTTTGTATTATTATAAAAAATTACTTCACGGTAAGTTAATAGTAACCATTAAGAAAAATGCATTGGAAATTACATGTGTGTTCTACATATATAATTTGGTAATTTTGGAACATAA